ATATTTATATATAATTTTTTGAGACAGGGTCTCACTGTGTAGTTCAGGCTGTCCTTAAATTCACTATGTAGCCCAGACTGGCCTTGAATTTGCAGCAATACTCCTGCCTCAGCCTCCCAAGTGCTGGGATTACAGGTGTGTGCCACCATCCCCAGCTCAACAATCTTCTTTTATTAACCTCTTAACTTTGAGCTGTCTGTGCAGCATTTCCCCCAGCTTTTGAAGTAAAACCGAAAACAACTAGGCTGTCTACAAAGCTGCTGAATTGTGCATTTTTGGATGTTTTCTCCACTGGTTTGGGCTTCTGTTCTCCTTTTCCCCAGCACCAATGATATACTGTATTCCCTCTTCGGGATCAGTCTTTCTGGGCAGTATTTTCCATCCAGACGTTATTCTCTTTCCTATAGCATAGTAAATGAAAATGTCCTAGTTTTCTCACTAGTCATTGGCAGGCTCTTCCTGCTCCCTCTACTTAAAGAGATGGACAGGTTATTGTGAAGATCAAGCAGTATAAAGTGCTATACAAAAAACAAATCACCATTATTTAAGGCATGACAATGGCTTAAAGTCAAATTCTCAAAGTATGTCTGTTTTCCTGAGATTAGAGGCACAGTCATGGGGAGAGACAAGCATTGGTAGTAGTAGCAAGCCGAACTGTTAGTGGGAGCAAACGTTTGTCAGAGAAAGGGGATTGCATGGACAAGTGGAGGTCTACCTACAGACAACAAACCCAGCTTCTATGAGATAAGGAAACCTGAGATCTGCTGCAGGTGCCAGAGTCTCTGAAGAGGAGCAGGGCGGAGGCGCCCATGGTCATTTCTTAAACAACCCTGGTATGGGGCTGTGTGTCTTTCTGGAAAGTATTTTTCTCCTCAAATTCTGTCTGCCTCTGATTTGGGGATACTATTTTCCCTGGTCTTTATCCTAACTTTCTAGCTGCTCTTTAGTCCTATTATTATTAATAAAGTCACAAAATTATTACTTATAGTAATGGTTAACAACTATATGGCTTATTATGTGCTAAGAACTGTGCTCAGCAATTTATCTCACTTAACACACCCAGCCCTTTGAGGCAGATGTTCTTCTCTTACTATCCCCTTAACTAAAACCCAAGAATACGTTTTCAGAGATAACAGGTTGCTGAATCCAAGCCCATCTGCTTAATTACTATGTATGCAATGTGCCACTAAAATTTTTGCTTTATCCAGAGTTCCAGCCTTCATCCCTTTTTTTCTCAAGGTCAAATATTTGTTTCTAATTTTTTTTAACCCTGGATGGCCTTGAACTTGAAGGTCCTCCTGTCACAACCACAATGAAGGCTTTGGAAGTGGACCTTTATTTACTTTCAGAGAGGGTCTTGGAATGTAGTCCAGGCTGGCCTCGAACTCACAGCAATCCTGTTTTAGCCTCCCGTGTGCTGGGGTTGCAGGTGGATGCCGGCACACCCGGCCATGTATCTTTTAAAACTAGGGGCATTTCCAAACCGAAGATTCAAGTAGACTATGCAGAAATAACAGAAGCGTTGCTAGTACGCTCACTGAATCCTAGTTCATTCCGTTTGTGGTCAACTATGATTCCCACGTTTTTCTTTTCCTGCGATGTATGTGACAAATTGTGGAGTGGTGGGAAAGAACTGAATGCAGAATCAAGAAACTTAAAACTTGCAAGGCGTGGTGCTGAATGCCTGTAATTTCAACCTCCTTGGGGCCTGAGGCAGGAAGATTCCAACCTGGCAATTTAGAGACTTAGTGAGACCATGTTTTAAAAAATGAAAAAAAGAGGCCGGGTGTGGTGGCGCACGCCTGTAATCCCAGCACTCGGGAGGCTGAGGCAGGAGGATCGTTGAGAGCTTGAGACCAGCTTTGGGTACAGAGTGAGCTTAGGGCAGCCTGAACTGCATAGCGAGACCCTGTCTCAAAAAGACAAAACAAAAAATAAAAAAAGGGATGGGGAGGTAGCTCCGTGCCAAGGCTTTGGGTACCGTTAAAAACAAAACACTCAAACAAACAAACAAAACCTTACACTTCAGTTCCAGCTCTCTCTGTGTGAGGCTTCAGGCAAGTTACCCGTTTTCCTTAAGTATAACTGGAGGCGAGAAAAGACCTGCGATTCTCCGCCTGGGGTGAGACAGAGAGCCAACCCTCCTGACGACTTTTCCTGCCAAAAGGACTTAGGGAACCATAGGGTTTCCCTACCGACACAAGTGCCCACAGACATTCAGTTACAAACGCGAGTCATTACTAATCCTTAACATCCCTTCCAGTTCTGTTAGGATTCCAAGGCAACCTTTCTCTAGTCAGTATTTGGTGCCTGCTTTTATTCTTCAGTTTATCGTTTTACATGGGCTCTCTGCTTAGCCTTTCATTCACAGGTATTTGTTGGTGGCCTGTGACACCAAGCACCGTCCATCCGCTTTCCGTCCTCTCTCTGTCCTCCCGGGGAAAAGCCATTTCGTATTTCTTATCTCCCCAACTTGGCAACAGAAAGCGCTCCAGATGAAGTCACGATCTTCATAAACCGCTGGCGGGTTCTCCTGCGTCCCTCTCGCCACCGGCTTCACCTCGAGGAGCGTCCTCCGCGGCGACAGTCATCCGCGGCTCCTCTGGGGACAAACCCTCCGCCCACAGCGCCCCATCCACGCTGGTTTCCGAGCCGCCCGACGGGCACCCGGGGTGACGCGTCCGAGGTCGGGGCGGACTCCGCCGGCCCCGCGCTGCGCGTCACCCGCTCGGACCCACGCGGGGCGGGGGCGGCACCTCGCGTGCTCCGTGGGCGGCTGCTGAGGGACTTCCGATTCTCCGCTGGTCTCGAGGCGACGCAGGCGGCCGAAACTTCCTCACCGCCCCGCCTCGGAGCGCACTCGCGACGTCCGCCCGGCAGGAACTTCCCCGGCCTGCTCGGAGCAGGCTGCTCCGTCCGGAGCCGCGCGCGTCCGCCCCGCAGCCCGTCAGCCGCTCGCTCCGCCGCGCCGCCTCGGAGGAAGAAGGAG